AGATGGAAAGAAAGTAACGAAGTTAAGTTACAGTTACTGAAAAAAAGTAACTCTAACTGTAACTTCGTTACAAGTAACGAGTTACTTCCCATCCCTGGGTATAATTCATTCACCAAATATTCATTAAATAATAAACGACAACAGTTCTGCATTTGTATTCGTATATACATGTTCCAGTCTCTTACATAATACCAGCTCTACAAGAAAAACCCACTTGATGTTCTCCAGGAAGTGTGTGGCAAACCAATTATACGAAAGACCATGCGAGTTGACTTCTTCGTACCTGATGGCCTTTTACATTCGCGGCCGTCTCTTTGTTTTCGAAACAAATTTAAATTAATTTATGTAGGGAATATTAAAACTAGTATTGTTTTTTATATTTATACATTTCATTCTTCAATTAGAAGTTGCATAAAAGTGATCGGAAATATCTTCACTCGATTCTTGTTGTATATTTCGGTATTATAAATATTAAATGATTTTGAATACAATGAATCGTCACATGAAACATTCAAGTACGTATATTATTATAATTTGTATGATTTAACGTGACAGACTTTTCATTCAGAATTAATAGAAATTTTAATCATACAAATATTCCAAATGTTGAATTAAGATATATGCTTAGTAGAAATCATATTAAATATTTCATTGTGTGTTATTCTTTCACAATACAGGATTAATGGATTCAGCGTAAATTTCTCTCCAAGTCACAATGTAAATTTCAATCGTACCGCATGGAATTTATTGTATTTTTTGTATTTTTCCGATAAAATAAATATTCTAAATGCTATCGAGAGAACAGCAGGTATAATATAACATACAATTTCCGGTGCATATATATCCAATGTATCGTTTCTCAATGTGTGTAAATCGAAAAATAAAATGTTGATATAGTAAGAAGAGAAAAATGGCGGGAGATGCGACTTTTCGTATTCATGCGACGAAAAGATGAGTCTGACACATCCAAGGTACGCGTTACGTTGTTCGAATTACACTTTTTTCCGATTTGCTTTTTTACGATGTGCCAGAAGAAGCGTCACGAAGACGGATGTTCGCCCGTCGTCGATGACTCACGGATCTACCCCACCGGTGGTTCACGTGACGGGTCCAGCATCCCCGAAAGGGACGCCTTCTATATAAGATTCGTCGACGACTTCGGTAAAAGCACAGACCACGGCATCGTGCAGGGAGAAAGTTCCGATAGAGAGCGAGAGTCCGAGTATAAGACGCGGTAGCGGAGCGAGAAAAATAATTTATCGCTGGTGCATCTGAAGATAAACGGTCAGGTATGTTTTTAAATAATTAATGATTTTTTATAATTTATAAAAGAGTACTTTCTTTGTTGTTACAAGTTACAATGGTAATTTTATGTAAAAATTTTTTTTAAATGTATGGATGAAGATATAATTAACAATTACAAAAGTATCTATGCAATTTTAGAGAAAAACAAAGTTAAGATACAAATAATACAATTTCCATGTATCAACATTAATATTAATAATTTTCTTTATTAGCTACAAAATTAGAATTATAATTATTATTATAGAGGTAAAAGAGGATCGGGACGTATATAACGAGTGAAATAATTATACAGATAATTCTTCATAATAAATAGTGTTAAATAGTCATTTTCAAAGTAATGATGACGTGCTTTTAACTACAAACCAAATGAAAAAGATGTGGGATTTCATGTTTAATCATATTATAGATTGATAGACTTATTGTCTAATCCATTAGAGATCCTATTTTTTTCAGAGGGGTAAATATTTTTTTGCGTTCGTCGACAAAGAGTAATCACGGCAAGGAGTATTTTTATTGATTACCGATTGGCCGAAGCAATATAATATTTGCATACGTTTATCGTTATTTGTTTAATAATTGGAAAATTGAGATTTTTCCAATATATTTCTTATAAACATGCAGATATATGTATCATATAAAATACTTTATTGAAATTAGGAGTGAAACCTACGTGTGTCGCTCTATCGTAGAATATACGTGTATAAAAACTTTCTCCTCTTTAAATACCGCCTCCGTTTCGTCCTTATTCAGATTCGCGATTTGTCAAGCATAATATCCGACCCACTATTGTGATGCTAAAGACGAATTACTGTGCCGTGAATATTTAAGAGAAGCTACTTGGATCCTGATCAGTTTCTATTTGAATAACTAGTTTATATAATTTGTATAAAGCAGAAATAATGCATAGAACCTTTAAATGGCGTTTTACTTGGAAATTCAGGCATTTCTTGTGTTTTGTAAATTTTGTTTTTCTCATTTCCAAAAAAAAAAAACTGAAATAGAAGGAGAATGAATTCGATGATTTAATTTTAAATAATAAACATAGAGATGCTAAAAATTTAAATAGCCATAAAATTTTTAATAAGTCGAGTGATTTGGGACGACTTAATTGTTTTTCTATTGTCGACCTACTTCGAGATAATTGATTTAGTGTAAGAAGTTGTGGAGGATGATTAAGAGAATATAAAGCTGGTTACATTACTTGCAACTTGGACATCATAGAGGAAGCTACGATGCACAAATGTCATAGAATATCAACGTGAATTTGCGATTTAACGAGATGTTAAGGCAAGTGGAAAGTAAAATATTGAAATTATTTGTACGTATACGACACGTAACCACTTTCACTGTCGTAGGTGGTAAATAAAAGACGCGTCGTGACGTGTTATGTATACCTTTGCCAAATATAGTGATTCTAGTCTCTAAAGTCAGCGTATTAGTCACTTTAAAAATGCTCTATCACAAATGTTAGATTGCGTATGGAAATACTTTACTTAATTTGAAATTTAAATCACTCCGCCCCAGTGGACGTCACACCGCATTCGTTATGCAATTACTTTCCCCGTGTTGACGAAGCGATTTCGGAAGAAATAAAATAATATGAGATGTGCTCGGCGAGAGACATCACATTATACGAACCGGACAAACGACTTTCACCCAACTTCCTCTCGCTTTCGTTAGTCTCTCCTTAGTTTAATTACACGTCTGTATACGTTTTCATACAAGACAGCCTTAGCTGGTACCGTTACCTAAAACCGGTATTTATACGTGGATGAGTAACAATGTGGTGAGCAATAAAAACTTTGCTTTCTCGAGTAAACAAAGACATTGAAAATTTTTAAATTGTATAAATTACTACTGAAGGTCAAATAAATATGTATCTTTTTTTCCATCGATTTTGACCTAATTTCGATCCATGGTAGTCGTTCCACAATCGTTGCGAACAATAAACTGAATGGAGAAAGGTGAGATGCACTTTCACGTGGATCCGCGCTCGGTACTTACAGAGAAATTGTCAAGAGATACTCGAGAGATCGATTGAGAAGAAAATCAAGCGCTTCGCGTCAAGGATTAAATTAAAATAATGGAGAGAAAACAATAATCAAAAAATAATGAAAATAATTATATTAAATTAAATTATATATAATACGTAATATATTATAATATAATATTTGAAAAATTGAAAAATATGTGAGAAAAAATCAATTTTAATACTAGATCAAATATTTTTGATCAAAATTATAAATTATGATAAGATCAAAAGTTAAAGAAAATAATTTATTTATTGATCACAAAGACAGATATAAAGTTGATCTTTTTATCTTTTGTTGCAGGATGAGGACGAAATTCGTCCTGATAGCTTGCTTGGCAATAGCGAGAGAAGTATTTGGTACTCAAGTGTACGAGGAGACGAGTGACTCTTCGCAACAATGGCAGCCGTGGAACCAAGCCTCAAATGAAAAACAAGAAATGCGTGATCAGCGTGATTTCGTCACGTTCGACAACCCTAATACCTCACAACAGAAAGAGACGCAACAACCGCTGCTTTACAATGCGAATATTCAATCGAGTGGCAGTGGAGTGGCCAACGTCGTTGGTCAACAATCAGTAAGGATTTTATCGTTATTGCAAAATATTTGATTTGAGTTAAATGTTACAAAGCTAATTAAAGTCAGAAACATAAATTTTTGTAAATTTTTGTACAAAGTAAAGTATATATTTCATATTTAGAGTGTGTGATCACTTTAAAGAAATATAATAGTTAATAAATGTACGAATATGTTTATATATTCAATTACAGATTGATTCTGTGATCGATAATATTATCGTATCTAATCGGCAAGGTCGCAATCTTGAAGAATATAATGAAATTTATTCTGATCCTAAAATAAAAAATGCTCTGCAGCTCGACAATGATACGCTCGCACGTAGTTTCATCAAGGACAAGCTTTGCTCTCTCAGTTTGATCAGCGTAAGTACAGTTTTCTAAGTCGATTAAATTTTTTAATTACTAGAAATATAATTAGTATTTTAAATTTCTTTTCTGCTTTGAGAAATTTGAAAGTTATAAACGCTTAAGAACTACGCGCTTGTATGCGCGCGTGTATCGCTTTTATAAGTATTATTAATATGAGTATAATTAACGTTCCAAAACTTTCCTGTTTAATTCTCTGCAAACATCGTGTATATATATATATATATATATATATATATATATATATATATATAGAAAGTACCCTATTATGTCTCTTGTTGGAAGGCACCCATTAAAGTCTTGAGAATTCAAATATTATATTTTATATATTAAATTATGACTTTTACGAGATTCAAACCATATTTATAAAAGTGTATTAATTATTTTATACAGTGCGAGGAGGTGGAAGAACGACGACCTTACTATTCTCCACACCGCGATATTCATCCCCACGATGTTATCTATGCTCAACCGGTGACCATCAAGCCAGTAGGCCGTCCACTTCCAGCCATACCCGTAAAACGACCTTATGGTCCAGCGAAACCGATACCATTTCCTAATTTTGGTTCTTCGTTGGGACCCCATGTTTTTCCTGGACCCGGACCGACGTTCGGTAGACCTCCGCCTCCGTTTGTCGGGCCTTATCCTGGATACAAGAAACCCGGTCTGCCTCTCCCATTAGGGTCCAAACCCATATACGAACCCAGCGAGTCCGATTTCGAGGATAAATTTATCGATAAGAAGCAGGTGGTTCTCCATCAACCGACTGCCGCAGGTGTTCAGCAACACGTTCATCATCATTATCATCATGGAGATGCCGATGGCACCGTGGCGCACAATCCTGCCGTAGGCGCATCATCTCCTCCATTCGGTGGCATCGGCAATTATGGTTATGGAAACGGCGGTACTTATGGCAGCTTGATCAATGATTTCGAAGATTACAAGAAAACGTTTAACATCAAAACGCCCACGAGCAACAATGACAACCCGTCGGTCTCTTCCTCGTCCGTGAAAGGTTATGCCGATCGTTACCCCACTTACGTGAAACCAAACAGCAAACAGTTTACTCCCGGTGGACAATTTGTCTCCAGTCAGATCTTGGAGAATGGTGGTTCCCCCGGTGATTATTCGTTCAATAACGGTGCCGACAACAGTTTCGATTCCTCGTCGTACGACGATTGCATATGCGTACCATACGATCAATGCTTGATATCCAATCACGTAGGCCGTAAAGACGATCTCTACTTGGCGATCGATCCGCGCAATCTCGACAAGGGTATCGAGGCCGAAACTGACGAGGTAGTAATCACCGACGGAAACGGCACAATGACTGTCGTAAGGGTGCCCAAGGGAGCGAACGAGACCGAGCAGATCGTGCAAACGAAAAACGAGCAGACGGAGAAAACAGAAGTTACGAAGCGAAGCAGCAGGGATGTCAAGCACGTTACCAAGAAGGACGACGAGCAGGTGATACAAGAAGTAAGTTGACACAAACTGTTTCTCTTGCTTTTCTTGCGAGTTCCGAGCGGACGATGTGGCAATCGATGTATAAATTATCAAATTTCGACCGTTATTTAGATATTTTAGATCAGAGATTAAAATTTAGATTATAAATTAATCAAAATTATTCGCATCGGAAGCTCGACTCGTGTATTGATTAAATTAAATCGGACGTGTAAAATGTATGCTACTTGTAAGAAATATTTAGCGCCATTGTTCTGTAACACGTGTCGCTCAGTTTGACACTCTCAGTCAGTCTGTTTGTCCTAGACAACGCAATCACACAATTAAACATCCGTACTAGAAACGATAGATTAGATGCCGTCGTAATGGAGGACATCGTGTGATCTGGGTCAAATGAATTTTAATAAAACGCGAGAGCGAGTACGAGGAAAAGTGACGAGAAAGTTTTGACTTATAATCAACGTGTTAATTCTCCCGAAAAAAAAATAAAAAAATAAAAAAAACGGAATCGGGATGAAAAAGAGAGGAAAAGAAATAGACTTCGGTTCTACGTGAATTTGTTCGTCTCTCTCGTTGCAGAGACTGACGGTAGGAACCGGCAATCTGGACTCCTCGAAATTGAACGTGAAGCCGACTTGGGGCGTCAGTTTCGGCCTACCGCAAACCGGTGGTGTCGGTCCAATCGCGCCCCACCCTGGTTATCCCCTGGGAACCCCGGGGTATACCCCGGGCTACGGGCTGGTTGGCGGACAGGGCATAAATCTAGGTCCGGTCGCTGTGAATCCGCTCGTAGCGGTGCAGGTCACCAAAGACGAGTACGGCGAGAAGATCATCAAGCCTTACGTGAACCTTCATGTAACGCCCAATCCAGGACTTATTCACAAGCTAGGCCATCTCCTGGCTCACAAGAAATATGGACTATACGGCGGTCATTACGGTGGTCATTATGGCGGTCATTACGACGGACATTACGGCGTTTACGCTCCTCATTATCACATGCATCACGAGAGACCGATCTATCATTATCCGTCCAGACCGCCGTTCTATCCATCGCACAATATTCATCATCATGAACCGATCTATTACAAACCTCACAGCGGACAATACTATCCTTCCTACTTATATAAAGACGATAACGACGATTACGATGACTACGATTATTCGGATGATTATCAGGATAATTACTATAGAAACGCTCGTGCGAGAAACGCGTCAACGACGAAAGGTAGACAATTCTTGACAAAGGATTTATCGAAGGTTTCGCCGGAAGGACTGACCGGCAACGAACGACAGAAGAGCGGGAAGATTACCTTCTCAAACAGAAGGAGACGCGACACGACGGCGTTTAACGAAACGACATCGGAGGTAAGGATACGGTTGGTTGGTCTGCTCGCTCTGCTGAACAGACTTAACCGTTGTAATAACGAGGTTGTAGAGCCGCTGTAAAGCGGCTGAGGCCGTCAGCGGATGACTCAGGATGACGATCACGGTGATACCGACTCTGCGAACTTACGAAACGCGAGACTGTCAAACTGAGCAGCGGTGTATAGTACAGATAGAAGTCGAGAACACGATAAGTAGAACTCGTCGTAGGTATGTCGGGACGAAATCAATTGACCGATCCCTTTCTATTCGCAGAGACGATATGGACGTCCAGCTTGCAATTCTTATCACGTCTGCTGCCCAAGATCGCAGATAATAGGAGTGAAACACGGTCAATGCGGAGTTAGAAACGCACAGGGCATCAATGGCCGTATCAAGACCCCAATCTACGTCGACGGAGAATCTGAATTCGGTACGCGACTCCTAATACAATTTACTAAATGAATAGCATTTATAGAAAAGGATACTGTCAATTTGAATTAGACACGTTTTGGATAAATCCTCGCGCCTCTCTGGGAATATTAAGGTAGAAAACATAAAATATAAACATAACTCTCCTTCTTTTGTTGTAATTTCAAGAATAGCAAACATTTAACTGATATTATTGCTTATCGATCGCAAATTAATAAATGCGTATATGTATTTTAATAAAACGTTCCTGAATGTAGAGATCAATTATCATTATCGCGAATTTAATATTACTACTGCAATATTAAATTTTTCAAACATTAATTTTTAATATGCTTTAAATTTTAAATATTGATATATAATTTCATATGCATTTTCACTGCTTAACAATATGATATTATTTGAGATATTTTTCACACATATGCATTATAATTTTAATTATATAATATTTCATTACATAGCAATATTAAATAATTATTGCTATATTAAATCGTTCTTAATTTAGGTGAATACCCGTGGCACGTAGCTATTCTAAAGAAGATCACCACGGAAAGTGTCTACGTTTGCGGAGGTACTTTGATCTCGTCCCGACATATCATTACTGCTGCTCATTGCATCAAAACCCATGCCCCTCGTGATCTTCGCGCACGATTAGGCGAATGGGATGTGAATCACGATGTCGAGTTCTACCCCTACATCGAACGCGACGTCGTGAATGTCTTCGTGCACCCTGAGTACTACGCTGGCACTCTTGCCAATGACATCGCTATTCTGACGCTGGATCATGACGTCGATTTCTCAAAGAACCCTCACATTAGTCCAGCCTGTTTACCAAATAAATACGACGACTTTATTGGAACAAGGTGCGTACTCTCCATAATTTATAAAACGGAAGAGATTATGGTGAAAAAAATTATTTAAAAAATTTCTCATTAATGCGTGTAGCGAGAATTTCTTCTAAATTCAAGATTAATGAATTTCAATTCTTATAATTCTCATATATTGATATCAAGTATTTCCCCAGAGAAAAATAATTAATGTTAGTACAGCGACAAAAAATTTTGTAGATAAATACTTATAGCATGAAATAATTTGAGATACATATAATATACATATATACCTAAAACGTGTTTCTTGATAGAATATTTTATATCTTTAAGCCTATATGGCTATTACAATGCTATAATATTCTTAGTATAATTTCCAGAATTTAACAAGTTTTAAAGTTTAAAGCCTAATATTATTAAAAAACGTAGCAATAACATTAATTATCTCTTATTTTTTGTAAATCTTTAATATTGCCTCATATACGCGCGAGAAGAAGCAGCAGATGTTTAAGAAAAATTGATATAAATAACAAATTATATTCTATTATATTTTTAAAAAATCTCTGTTATTAAGAATCAAATAGGTAATCGTAAAACGAAAATCTTTTCGAACGAACTCTCGCTTCTAAACGCGGTGCGCTTTAATTGAAACTTAACGTAATGTATGGCAGGTGCTGGACCACCGGATGGGGCAAGGATGCTTTCGACGATCGCTCCAAGTATTCTAACTTGTTGAAAGAGGTAAACCTACCTGTCGTCAGCAACCATGTGTGTGAGCAGCAGATGAGGCAAACGCGGCTAGGACACAGCTTCACGCTTCATCCGGGCTTCATCTGCGCCGGCGGCGAGGAGGGCAAGGATGCCTGCAAGGGCGATGGCGGCGGTCCCATGGTCTGCGAGCGTCAGGGCCACTGGCAGTTGGCTGGCGTCGTCTCCTGGGGCATCGGTTGCGGCCAACGAAACGTGCCTGGCGTCTACACACGCGTCTCACACTATCTCGACTGGATTCACCAGATTGTCGGATCTGTGAATTACTGATAAGAGAAAATTCGAATCAAGTCGTATTTGACATAAAAAAAGACATGGCAAAGTTTCATTTCTTCAAAATTAGACAATCGTTTGGAAAAATCGGTGACGATGGTTCACAATATTTTAATTTCGTACATATATAGAGAAAGACATATTTATATATAATATATTTATATATTAAAACGGTTTATATTCTATCATATTTATTTACGTATGAGCGAATTTCACTTGGAAACGGCTGATTCAAAACGAAAAACTATTTATTTGATTATTGCTCGTTTTTGTGTCATCAATTAGTTTTTCTCTTTTTTTTGTTATTAAAAAATGTCTAATTTATTGTATATAGATCTCTAGGAATGTGTTCCACTTGGCGCTCACATAACACTCGCGAGTATTTGTCCTTCACTGCGTTCAGCAGAAAAAAATAGCTTTGCGACTCTTGTAAAAATCTTTAATATGATTAGTCTTGCCTCAATTTCTCACTGGATCTAGATGTGTCTAAATGAAAATAATTAGAACTTATATACATATTAAGAACTTTGCAACAGTTGCAAAGCATTTTCTGCTGAATGCGGCCCTTGTTTAACACTTGACAAGTATCAAATAATTCCAAGAGCGTTAGGAACATCAAGTGGAACGCAGTTCCTTGATCGCGCGCCAAAATCATGCGACCTCGGCGCCATTTGCGCACCGGCTAGCGATACACGGCACGCAATTCGCGAAGTCTGATTCGAGCGTTCGGATCGTCGAGTAATGCATTTTCTTTGCAACAGCTTATATATTATATTTATCAGTTTAATAAATAACTTACACACACATATACCTCTCTCTGTACTCCATGACCGTTTCTCTGCCCCGACGCCGCATAATTATGAGGTCTATTCGCGTTGCTCGCACTTTTTGCACTCGGCATCTTCGCTTTTTCTCTTTTCAAAGCCAAATATATATCTTTCTCATTTTAAGTGCAAAAATATCTGGGGATTTCGTGCAATGTGAACAGACCTATGATCAGTCGAGAAGTGTGAGAATCGCTTGGAATTTGCGCGCGATCTGCAATCGAATTTTTGTTGTAAGAACAAATATTTGAATATATATCAGACGAAAAGAGAAAACGATGACAATAGCGATTTAAACGCGACAGGCGATATATCTCGACATTTTCTTAAAGATACTTTCCTGAGAGAAAGAAAATTTCGTTCGAGTAAAGTCGCGATCGGCTAATTTCCGCCATTTTGCAACGGTTTTCGAAGAATTGCGCTTCAAGCGAATTTCGGATATTTTCGAACACGAGAGGATGTGTAGATCTATTTACATCTTTATAGGATACCTGAAAGATCAGGATGCCTTTCGGATGTCTTTCTTGATACTTTTCGAACATTTTATCATTGGAAAAGCCATCAGCTCACCTCTCATAATCGGTATTACGCGCATTGCTCGCGATATCGTCGCATTAAATTTGAACCGGCGAGATCGTCACTCCGAACTGCGCCGACCGCGTCCGAAAACGCCCGAAAACAATTTCGATACTTGTGCCGCCATCTACCATCTTCCATCAGAATTAAAAAGTATCCACTCTATAACCTCTCTTGCAACTTGCAATCGTAATCTCAAAACACTGTTCATCGTTATACGAAATACGCATAGTTTTCATAAAGTAGACGTTGATCTCGATGTCACGTCTCACAGATAATCGAGGACGACATTAAGAAAGAATCGGGACAGCAACTCGGTACACAGAATTAATCAGCAGGAGGAAAATTTGTAGAGTCAGAACAGTGAATCCAGCAGTCGTTTACCGGTCAACTATACACAATGCCTATAAAGTTCATCGGTCGCACGACGGATTTCAAGGGAAAGCCCTTATGGGAAATCGTGGCAAACCTGAAGAACTTTGGCGTTGGCAGACTCGTGATAAGGAATCGCTTTCAGAGGTATCCCGAACCTTGTTACATGAAAATACTGAAGGTCGCTGGGATGCCCTTACCCGACCGACCCTATGTAAGTGCTGAAAATGATGGTTGATCTTTCCAGCAAGAGAGACAATGTAACAGTAATCATTTCATTTTTATTTAATATGGCAATCAATAAAATTTGACAATAAAAAATATAATGATTTATTGTGTCACATTAAGTCTGTTTTTTATCAAAGAACTCTCTGAACTGGTACACATAGTACATGTAAGTTGGACTGAATCAAATTATAATATATTTCTTTTACTTCAATTTATATGCACCAGTTTGGAGAGTACTTCGATAAGGAACAGACTTCTCGCGTCATCTGTATCTCTTACTGGAAAGCATGCAATATACTAGATAATTCTAATTTGTGTTGCATCTTCTAACGTAGTTGCATTGCTTCAGACCAACCGCAAAGTTATGGTGTTAGTTGAGAAAGTCTTTCGTGGCAACAAAAGCTCGAAACCAATACAACTGGACAGCTCGACTTACAAGGCAGATTACATGCTGATTCCTAAGGATCAGGAGCATATATTTCTTAATAACACAAAGGTAGTGGAGAAGAGAATCCTACCCAAGACAACGAACCTTCCACCATTATTCTCACAGTTGATAATAAATCAGATGAAGGCAAAAGGCATCGAGGTGTCCGCAGAACCAAAATTAAATCTTCGGTATAATCTCACAGCAACAGATCTTAAGAATTACAGAACAGCTGAGGAAGGTGAAACCCCAACGGTGAAACTGAACTTTAAGGTGGACGAGTCTAGTCCATTTTTCCCAAAGCCAGAAGAGACAGCAGCCCCGTGAGGTTTTACATTTAATGTTAATATATATAGTTGTTAAGAATAAATATTTTATAAATTATTTCTGAAGAGAGAAGCAATAAATTACTTTAGGGAGAAACGTAAAAAGAAAACAATCCGATTCTCAAAGTTTCATTTCATTGGATGTATAATTAAATTCGGGAGCGTCCATTTTTTCTGCACGAATGATCTACAATTTATGCAAGAACCATTATTTATTTTTCAATTATTTATTTTTCAATTCCTTAGCTATACCAATACCTTCCAAAACTGACGCATCTCCTGAACATCCGTTTTTTTTCTTACAAGCCAACCACGAACATATCTCTGTATATGTAAAGCGGCCTCCTCTTTAGTCCACAACCACGATTTTGGATAAATTGGCCTGGGACTAAAAAAAGGTGTAAAATAAAATATAATTTTTAAAACCCGGGATATGTTTTCTTCTTACTGCAACTTTAGCCATAGCTTGAATTGTGGTATGTTAAATACGCCTTGCCAAGTGCACAATCTACTCGGATGTCGCGAGTTTCGATTCCAAAGAATCTCGGCAAGATAATCCAATCCATTGAAGGAGCATTTATGTGTCTATAAAGTATAGTAATTTTTTTTTCAAGATATTGTTTGTATTTATTGATTCTAAAAATACACGCGATATCTGATGCAACATTATACTTCTAATGCATTTCGACGATCAGCTTCAAGTAACATTTCCTCCATTGCATTTAATAAAATCGGAAATATATTTTTATTTAAGTAATCCGGGACACTTTCAGATGAATTCATCGTTTGCACGTTAAGCGTTCTACGAGTTTATCAAGCGAATACAGATACGAATCGACGTAAAATGTAAATTATTGCGAACTTTAGATAACTTAGATATAGATGAAATTGGCATGTCAACCTCAACAAAAGATGAAAGCAGGATATTAACAATGTTAAATATAGATAATAAAAGTTGTTTAGAGATCACATTTCGCTATTTTTGCGAAATTGTGAAATAATGAATGTGTCTTATATATAAATATGTAATCTACGGAAGCGCGAAATATACATTCTAAATGTCCTGTAATAACTCTATAAAAAACCGATGTCCCGTAACTTGTCCCAAAGTCAGGGAACAGCTCCGTATCGCAAGTATGTCTCTTTATAAGACGTCTTTGAACGCATTATTAATAAATGTTGATATTTTAAAAACGCATAATTAATACGTTTTGCGTAAACGTTTCTATCTTCACAAAATAAGTCGAGGAATTACCTAATGTGACGGACGGGATTTTTCCGCGGAAGAGGAATGATGTGGAACCGCGACTTCCGTCGGATATTAATTCGAGAGCTATACGAGATAAACCAAAACATGTAATCGAGACAGCACATGTACCCATCAATGATGTACGATCTGAAGAGTTAAAGGACATCAAAGCAAAACTAGTGGTTTTCCCGGAGTTTCCGATCGTTACAGAACCAACTGTTATCCCAACAGAAAAGGGAGTTAATGATACTGAAGAAAAAATTGATTTGGAAAAAGAGGAATCAATCAAAAAACCTACAATCATTCCAGAAGAAACTGTCATTCCAATAAAAGAAGAGATAGATCGTTATAAAGAGAAAATTGATCTTGTTGAAGAAATTATCCAGAAAGAAATTATTATTCCGACAGAAGAAATAGATCGCGATGAAAAAAAAATCAATTTGATTACAGAAGAAGAAAAAATAGACCAAAAACCTGTGATTGTTCAAAAGAAAACTGTCAGTCCGATAGAAAGGATAGCAGATCGTAATGATGAAAAAATTGATTTCGTTGAAGAGAAAGACTTAATCGTGGAAGGAATCGCAGAAGAACCTACAAAGAAAGTTCCAATTGAGAAACCTGAGATTATCAAAAACGAAATTGAACAGGCGCCAGGACCAAAAATTGAATTGGAACCGTCGCGGGAATTAGAAGAGCACTGTAATTAAGAATAATTATTGAAATATGACTTGCAGAGAAATTTGACTGATGGTAACTTTGAATGATAATTTTAGTGCCAGAGGAGCCCATGGAATATGACGAAGAAGAAGAGGGCAAAACTGACTATGAGCAATATATCGACGAGGAATTGCAGGAGTTTCTACCCGCCGTAATAGCGAGGGAAATTCCAGAGGAGCCGAGGGCGGTGCGTACTGAAATTTCCAGGAATGCGGCCACCTTGTATGAGAAAATCGATCGCGAAAGACCTGTCAGACCACCGAGGGAACGAGAAGCAGTGACCGCAATGCCTGAAGAACGACCGATTAGAGAAGAAGTATCTGTGAAACGAGCTCCCGAGAACTCGAGGCTAGCAGAGCAGATTGTCTCGCGTAAACCTGCAGTCGTAGAAGATGCTTGCGAGGAGACATGTCCTTTAGTAAAAGAGCAGAAAGGCAAGCAATTTGCTTATCTTCAGGAAAAAAACTCGATACTTGTCTTCCGTATTGTATTGATCTTCTTTTCTGGAGATATTTATATATATTTCCCATATATATATATCAGTTTATGTTTCTGCAAATCGAGATTCGTTTGTATTGCAGAACGCATTATGCGCAAATTGAAGATGCGGCAGCGAGTCGTAGATCATTATTATCTGACGAAAGGTTTCAGCTACTTCGAGGACGTATGCACGTGCTCTCTGGCTTGTATGGTGTATACTTTGAGCAGGGATCCGTTTGTGAAGAGTATATTCGCGTCTTTCGCATTGTTTGCAGTTGGATTGAAGCTGTGCTCCGAGCTGGATGCGTGGGAGATGCCGAATCGCGTTTCATAAGACCAAAATATCGATAATGGCCAACACGTAATCTTCACCTAAGCCTCTTATAGAACCGCGACAATTTACATTTAGATTAACGAGACACCATTAACCGAATGTGTACAATAACTCGTTTATTCAATATACACCTATATACAGTTTGAAATTTTATATATAATCATAGAGATTTATAAGTAAATTAAGTATTTAAGATTATTTAGGATTTTGCTATCCTTTGACGAAGTGAGGTTCTGATGATCCATAACAATGCGATTAACACGAGAAACGTAGTCGCTGATAACAGAATTGCTAAATAATAATTTTGTAAAGCGCGTGTTTCATATTTTGGAAGAATCACTCGCAGAACAATGTCATCCTGCCACTCGACAGTATTGTTTCGATCCAAGACACTTCTGGCACGTCTAATGTGACTGCCGGGACAGTTCAGAATACAGTCCATAGATTCTACGCATGCCATGGCCTTCACAGTGAGGAAAATCTCGTCGGTCTCTTTCATGCCCTCAAACATGAACGCCTGGAAAATTAGGTAGCTCTCTAACGGTGACATTGCATATTGCTCGCGAGGACAAATCTCGTGCACGTCTGGATTTAAGCAACCGTCCTTGTCGAGGATCAACAGACTGTTAACGATCTTCTGCCGCTGTCGCTCCTTTATGTAATGCATTGTCACTTGGCCGATTTTTGAGTGTCGCCAGTCTTTGAACAGAAAGGATAAAAAATGAAAATTTAAATAATTAAGATTGCCTAGATAATTAATGTTCATTGTTTAAATCTATTCTCATATTTAATTAGTATAATTATAAATAATTATATAGTTAACACGATCTTAATTATATAATCTTAATTTGCGATCTTAATTATATAATTAATCAACTTTTGCTTGAGATTAATTTTATGTCAATTTAATAGGATTGTGTGACTGATTTCTCTTTATACGTATCTCTTGTATGTCTTACTCTTTGTGAGGTGAAATTATCGATTTAGCGAATCGTATGTTACATGAAGTAATGTCGATGTCCCAGGTACGCCATTCGTCTTACTAAAGAAATAAAAATGTACTGTCACCGTTCAGTACTAAAGCGCTTACTGTCGTTGCCGTTGACTAATACGCGTAACAAAATCTCTTCGCCTAAGACGACCGTGCCGCCCGATTGTATTTTCGTGTCGAAAATGTTTTTTGAGCCGTAAGTCTTCCTGAATAATCCAACGTCAATATTCAGAGCATTTTCAGCACCGCCGTTTAGCACGCCTGGTATGTTCCTCGCTTTCCTATGGGGGATACATAATGTATCTGAATAATTCGTTTTCCTTGCCAGACGGATGTTTATTTTTGCTACTTTTTGTCAGAAGACAAATGACGCGTCTTACGCTTCTAAAGTCTTCACGCTGATCTGCCTCGTATGATATGCGATTCTGTTCTGGGTCTTACATCGCAACGTCACCCTGTGGTCGTCCTTCAGTCGTAGACCGGAGATCACGGGGAATCTCAGATCGAGGCAGTATGATTGGTTGTCATCCGTTGAACAATCAACAACCCCGCAATTCCAGACTTGGTCTTTCTCAAAACTAATGCGATAAGAGTCCCTGACTGCTATTGCCCGACAAGCATCACCCATCATGTTATCTATCACCGGTGGAACTGAATTCTTCACTTTGATGGATGCTCTATGATTATGGATTGTGTGATATGTGCGTGAAATTATTATACGTATGTATACATATTGATTATCAAATTCAAAATATCCATCTCATTAAAATTAATTTAATTTAGTTATATATTAAATTTAATTATCAAAATTAAAATTAAATGTATGTGATCGATAGAATTGTTTAGTCTGCTTAGTGTAAAAATGTTTATTTAAGATTTGAAAAATGTGGCAAAGATTAACTTATAAATGCAGTAAAAAAAAAAGTTAAAATCCTCTTGAATTTCATTACCTGAAGAACAATTCGTCTCTCGTGTTCTGACAGGACATCTCCTCAACGCTAACGCGGTTTACGAAGGATGGTGATGTTTCACCGAAAGGAGGAGGAGGAGGAGGAGGAGTCTGCGTTGTGGTCTGTTGAGAGTGTTTGCCTTGTTGGAAAGTAGGTCGACGATGATGCAAAGGTATTCGCAACCCGTCGCTCCCCGGATACCTCGTGTCGTACGGATCCTTGCGCGTGGGGATTCGCAAGGAATCCCGTTCAGGAAGATGATACAACACGTTGGGATAGTTTCTGGTCTCGTCCGTTACCGCGACCGCTACGTTCCGAGCTCTGTTATCGATCACTTCCGGCAGGGAGAAATCCGGAATCGAAGTTGGAGGTAAATAACTGTTGTCGTGAAGTATCGCTACCTTCGAAATATTGTGTCTGCGATGGAAATTCACAAAGATCGCGTCTCGAGATTCAAATCCGTTTGCAAGGCTTTCTGAGGATATCATGCTGATGAAGAGGAACCACCGATATATCTGCAACGATCGCCCATTAATTTGATAAATTATTAGTTTGATAAATTAGTTTGATAATTATAATATAATGAATTAAGCATAAAAATAGTTTAGCTTAAGTCTCCTTTTGAATGTAATTTAAAGTTTTTATATTTTCGAAAAACTTAAAATTCTCTTTTAGGATTGAAAATTAGACAATTCGATATTTTCAAGATTCACCTGCGTTGAGCACATTTTGTATTGTGAATGATAATATAGTTGAGACATACAGAATAACAGGGTGCGACTGACGATCGGCGAAGCTGTGGGTAGGCTTTTAAAGCGCTTTTAAAGCGCACACCTTTACAAAACCGGATCCCGGTGGTCATTGTTCCGCTCGGCGAACAAACATCGGTGAACATCGACCACCAGACGATTTAATAGGTACCGCATTTCGTGATTTGGTTGACGATTAGGTACTTAGCATAAAACATCATCCTCGATTTTAACGCGACTGCCATTAATAATGATAACGGCAGGATCTGTCGTCGTCACTCTCACACTGTTCATTATATCTCGATCAATTTAGGTCAGAAGGTCTCTTTGTGACTCGCATACAGTCGCATATCCATTTGCAGATTTCTAAGTTGACATCTCTGATATTGCGCACTTTATATTCTGCTTAATGTTTTTCTAAAATCGTTAAGTGTTATATCTTACATTGATAATAATGAAATATATATGCATACCATTTAAATATATGTATATATCTCTTTAACTCGATAAGATATATATATATATATATATGTACCCTACGTAAAATTTAATACAATATTGTATTAAATTTATTATGTACTTACATAATATACATATATTTTAATGTATGTATATTATTTAGTATCCTACATTTATTTTATATCTCAAAATCATCGAAAATCTTGTAATGAATTCTTGAAGGTATAATTTTTGAATAATTTTCATTGTGGAAATATTTCATACATTATTATTAATTATTTAGAAACATTTGATATATTAATATAAATTTTGCCGCATTTAATGTTTAATACTAAAATAATATTTAACACTAAAATTAATATTCGATTACATTATAAATTATACACAGTATAATTTATTACGTCGTAACAAATTATGCTCATTATGTGTTGAAATTATTGTACAGTTTAATGTTGATTATTGTTTAATAATTAATATAATTGATAGAGGTAATAATAAGCGCGAGAAATTATGGAACTATCAAATTGATTCGCATATTGACGAAAAAAAAAAATGCTCCAGGTGAGGCTCGAACTCACAACCCCGGCATCGCTCACGAGAAACTGCTCTATAAGTACCGTGCGCTAACCAATTGCGCCACTGGAGCTGTTGAAATTGGTCGTCGTAAACCGGACTCTTCAGCGATAGTATCGCTAATACCGAAAGCTTTTTGTTCTTATTTAATATATTATTAATTTGCGCATCGTAAATAATTTCAACATTTTTACAAAAATCGAGTTGAACTAGAAACGAACTTTAAATTTCTCGAATAGTCGCCAAGTGTCCAACATACTCATTCATGTATTCATGCATTGTATTTATTTATTTTATTACACGCTCGATTTCTTTTATTAAATTCGCAAGGAAATTGATGACGTTTATTTGACAATTCATGGCTAATTGTAAAATTTTATCGTTACTTGATTTTCAACTGAATCTGCACTTTTCTTTAAAAACGCAATAGGTACATTTAGGAAGAGAGAGACGCAGGTATAAAATTTGTAAAAAATACTAAACAAATGAAATTAAAGAATATATTTTTGTTTATTAGTCGAATAATCCTCGAGCCTACAAAGTTAACGACAGATGAATGACAGAATCAAAATGAAATAGATTTAAGTCACATTTAGGTTAGAACAGAAAGAGAGAGAGAGAGAGAGAGAAGATGAAAAAAGTGCAGAAGGTGCAATTGAAAGGAAAGCTAATTCTGATGTTCATGTTTTCACATCGTAAAGTTTAGATTGTGCGTATTGCGTGATCGATCGCACGTTGCATTTCGCATCCTCAAGGAAATGCGGCCGAAAGATCAGCGGAGATCAGGAAAAATATAAACAAACAGAGCGAGGAAGGAAAGCCGTTGGAAACGGAGACCGCGAGAAACGGGATTGACAACACTAGCTGCGACAGCACGCACGACACTCTTCGCGAATATGTCGGCTGCTAAATACATTTTGACAATCGTGTGAGAAAAAGGAGGATCCGTCACCGATCCCGAGACCGCGTCTCACCGTCACGATCGTCGCCCCAGAGGATGTCATGTACGTAAATCGCGGTGACACGAGGCGGAAGGAACACGAGGAAGTGCCACGTAACAGAGCGGTAACATGCTTATTTTTCAGAGCCGAAACATTCCTGCTTGTCGCGACATTAATTTCCCATCGACGGTTTATGTCGGCTTAAAGAACACGCGCGGCTTCATTTAACTTAACTTTGCTATATATATGTATTTTGCAGGCACTCTGTTTTTGTCGCATATTCTACACATTGTAAAGGTTACATTGTATTTATTTGTATCTTACACAGTAGAGTTCATGACTTATTCCGTTTCTCTTGTAGGCATAAAATATGAGCTGGTTTGATGCCACGGGATTTGCCAATTTGGCAAAGTCTGCTTTGAAGGGAGCACAAAAGACCATAGACAAGGCTTTGGATATCAAGGAAGAAGAACCAAAGGTGATTCAGTCACATGCAGTGGAAACTTCAGATTTTTTTACTAGTTGGGGAGTACAGAATGAACAGGAGACCAGCAAACGTGACAGCAATCCACAGAAACAACCAAACTCGAGTAGTATTTGGGGTAGCTTTACAGGCTCGTTTTTTGAACCTGCAAAAGTAGACGGGAATGGATGGAAGACTGTCAAGCATTCCAAGTCCTTGCAAAGTACTACCAATCGAGATGAACACAGCATGGTGTTTTCTACTTCTGCCCCTGAAAAATTAATGACAAAGGACTCAAAGTCCGCAATAGCAAAGAATGAGTCTGTATATAAGGAAGATAAAGGAGAGTCTAGTGCTACCAGTGAATCTGTAAATACTAATCGTAGCGTATCTAAAGAATCTAATGAAAAAACTACGTCAGAATCTTGTATATTATCAGAACAATCATCTCTAGACAATGTTGTTTCTATTAGTACTGATAAGACTAAAAGTGCCAGTTTAGATTTGGAACAAGTATACTATGCGCCAATGGCGGACAATACCGACAGTGATTCTACGACAAGCCCTGATAGGGAAGAAGAAGGACAATATGACAACGAAGTGGCATCGGAAAGCAACGATATCAATCATACGTTGAATCCCACTAATGTGTTCCACCAAGTACCTAATGTTTCCTCCGAGAGCGATAAGAAGAGCTTGGAGAGTGTGGAGATACTTGGTTCGCAATCCAACACTGATTGCACTACCACACCGGAATCAGATCCTAATTCTGTTACTAATTCATTAAGTCCTTCTGTCATTGATATCAAGGTAAATTCTGAATCGGTTGAGATACTGCCCGACAGTTTAGTAACGTCACCGAGCTCCGTAGAGATCCTGGGAGATTGGAAGAGCGACAGCAGTCCTTATCTATCTCCAATAGATCAAAAAAATCTAGATTCATCTTCTGTTCTGGACGAAGATGAATGCGCTACTCCATGCATTGACTGCGCCGACATGTTACAACCACCAAGTAGAGATCAATTCGCGGAAGCTTCGTCGTCCGACATCTCACCGTATGAATCTCCGATGGAGGAGATCAAAACATTGAACATCAGTCCATATCCTAACAGTGTTGATAGTACACCGTCACCCAATACGTTTCCTAGCTTGGACACGAATAAAAATTTGTCAGACGCGACAAACAACTCAAAAACTTCCCCTGAAAGCGTCGAGGTGATACCGGACGTAGAAGAGGCAGACGAAGTGAGCTTAGCCGAAGATTCTTACACTTCAGCTTCTGAAGGTACAGTCATGACAGTATTTGAACCGTTACAGCAAATGGATACTAAAAATAAGATGGAATTGAGCGATATAAAGATACCTATAAAGATGCACGATTCATGTCCGGATGATAGGCAAATCTCAACAAAGGCTTGCACGGAAAACAAGCTAAACTTAAGTCTTGATTCACTGAAAGAGAAACATAATTTGCATCTGACACTTGAGCCAATTACCACACAGCCAATTCGCAAATTGGATCATTTGGAAGGAGTAAATGAGAAATCGGACGTTTCCACCTTTTCCCAATTAATGAGTACCACTATAGAACCACCGGATCCAGATAGTCAAATCGAAAACTTAGAAGAAACAAAAATGATTGAGAGTAATACTGACCAATATTTTATATCTACCGATTCGAGTAGGGAAGGTACCTTGATAGAGAGCAGTTCGGAGGATAACGCAACATTAATCTGTACGAATGATTCTAAAATCCTAGAGACGCCTTTAACTACTAGTTCTTATGTGAAGACTATGTTAGCTGATGCTATGGTCGAAAAGGGTGAAATGACTGATTGCACGGAAGTACCGCGAGAAAATTCGCCTATATCGTCAGAAAGGTATTATTTAATTTACATATATTTTATTCAAATTTATAACCACTTTTTTATCTAAAATCTACTTTTATTATAGTCGTTCGGATCTTGTAAAAATTGGATCTGATCAAGCCAGTGGACATACAAGTGGAGACGAATTAGAAACTACAACATCGAGCGACATCGAAATAATATCTAGGTACGAGTATAATATATTTCGCATTTAACATTCAATATATCAATACTTGATACATTATTTGTCAACAGTCCTAACGGAGATTCAAGTTCGACTCAATCGCGACAGAGTCCGGCGAAATTGCAATTGAATAAAGGTGGTGATTTGTTAACAAAAACTTTAAAGACTCGAGGTCATTCTCGAGAATTGAGCGAAATCAGCGTAGGATCAGATGAAACAAATATGGAAATTGAAAAATTATTGAAACGAATACAGGAGATGACCGAAATTTTAGAAGCGAGAGAATCAAAGTTAATCGACGTAAGCAGGATAAATATGGAATTACATGAACAAAATACAAATTTAATGAAGTAAGATTGTCGTAATTGTCTCAAAATATAATTCTATCTTCAAATAACAGATATCATGAACAGATATGTTTTACAGACAGCTCGAGAATTTTGAAAAACATGCGGAGCAAAATCAAAATATCAATCAAATCACAGATGAATATACGCAACGTCTGTCGGCACTGGAGAGGAAATTTCAGCAAGCGATAAGGGAACGTGATCAATTGAGAAAAAATTTAGATCAGTTGAAGTTGGAAGCGGCTTCGCGTTTATCGTCGCAGGAAATGTCTAACATAAATGCTGAGAAGGATGAAATTATAAAGGAGCTTCGCGAAGAAGGCGAAAAACTCAGCAAACAACAACTTCAACACAGCAACATCATAAAAAAGCTGCGCATAAAAGAGAAAGAGACTGATGCAATGATAAAGAGTCAAAAGTATTTTAATTATATTTTTTTGCTGTTTTAATTATATTAAAAATAAATGACAGCAAATGATAATTATATTTATCGCAATTTTTACTTTATTATTTTTCTAGAGAACAAATAGAGGAACAAAATACAGAATTGGAGAGATTGAAACGATCGTTGTATGCGAAGGAGGAAGTAGAGCGTAGTCAAATAGAAGCCGTTCACACGTTGACAGCGAAAACGAAGAAGCAAGAGAAAGAGATACTAATGTTACAAGAAAAATTGGATAATACGATGCATAAGATGGAGGCCTTTAAGAAGAGCTTGGATGCTGCAAAAGTGTAAGTATAGAATTATTAATTGATTCTAAAATGAAACGAGTTTTATATACATAATAAAAATTTCTCTGTAATAGAGACTTAGCAGAAACAAAGAAAAAATTGCTAGTCACTGAAGAGGAATTAAAAGAAGCTGTAGATAACGCGGGGGAATCGTGCCAATTGTTTGCCCAAGTGGAGGATTTAAAATTGAAATACCGTCAAGCTGAAGAAGCACACGTCAAGTAAATACATATTAGTTATACTATTCATCATATAAGTAATTTTAATTCTAATATTATCCATTTTTTATTATATAGAAGGGAAGAATTTTTCAAGCACGAAAACAACGAATTACTTAAACGATTAGAAGCGGCAGAAGCTAGAAGTGAAGAGTTTTCTGAATCCGTCTCAGTAGCAACAAAACCTTTATTAAGACAGATAGAACAGCTTCAAGCGAACTTATTACATAAATCCAATAGTTTCATGAAGCAGGAGAAGGTTTTATCGGAAAAAAATATCGAATTGCAGTCAAAAAACGAGAATTTAATCGAGATGGATCGTCTTCTGAGAGAAGAGAATGTTAATTTGAAATCCAAAGAATCGCATTTAGAATCAAAGCTCAATTTAAAAAAGAAAGAAAGAATGAAATTGCAAGAATTTCACGATAAATTAAAAGAAGAAAACGAGAGATTATTAGAGCAAAATAAAGAGTAAGCGTTTAGAATACATAGATATATATTTTTCAGATATGATAATATTCAATTTCTAACAAAATTCAAATTGCAGACATCAAGATGCGATAAACACTCTCGAGCAGACACATTCCAGTTATATACAGGAACTGAAGAGAGAAATAAACGCGCTAGAAAATAAATTGGCAGTTGAAAAGGCAGCGACTGACGCAGAACGGAGAAGAAATAACGCAATATTGGAACAACAGCAAAATACCGACGAAGAATCACGATTTAGCCCTACTCTCAGTATAGGACAAGAATCCGTCAGCAGTGCAAATAGTGCCTGGCCAGGTGTATGTATAGAAATCACGATTTACAATTACTATAGAAATTACAATTGACAATTACTACATAATGCAAAATTTGCTTTTTACAGTTTAGCGATTCAGTATTTGATAATAACTCCGGCAGATTTCCTCCAATACCGTATGAAAGTATTATAACGGGTTCGAGTAGTACGTCAATCTTTGAGAACTTGCAAGCGCAATTAAAACAAAGAGATGGTAAGCTTACATATTGTACATGTATATTGATATCGCTAATTTTATTTTTCGCTATTTAGTGTCACTAATCTTGATTTAATCTTTTCATCCCAGGTGAGATACAGCAACTTCAGTGGGAATTATCTCGACGAAATACAGAGAGGGATGCACTGAACTCGGAATTAGCAACATTAACTTTGAAAGTAGAGGATTTGAGCGCCAATGTCGCGGAAGCACAAGCACTCAACGCGAGTCTTAACGAGATCCAAACCAGATACGATGCGTTGCTACAAATGTATGGCGAAAAGGTTGAGGAGAATCAGGAGCTACGACTGGATCTCGAGGATGTTAAGGAGATGTACAAAATGCAAATTGATCAACTTTTAAAACGACAGAATTAACTTTGCTGAAAAATGCAAAATTGTTGGAAACGAAGACTTACACGCAGCCTACAATTCTCTATGAAACTTTAAATTATACACACGCACTTCGGCACGTTTTATCACATAATCAATTTGTCTATTTCTAGTAAGATTCGGCGTATAACAAAGTTTTATAGTGGACGACTTTAATAATACGTATAGTCTAATGTAGAAAGTGTATTTATATTATTTAATGCAAACGGAAATTTGTGATAAAGGATTTAGATGCCAATTAAGATTTTGAATGAAGTTCTTTCTGTGAAGTTAAATATGATATAAATGTATATTTATTGAGAATTAGATGAGAGAGATCTTTAAAAAATGCAAAAGAGGTATCAAAACTTAACATATCTTTTTGTCCTTCTGTATTGTTATAATTATTATTATTCCTTGTGTATAATTGTATTATTGTTTCATATATACTTTAATTTTACTATTTAATATCAGGGAGGCTCATGTGATATTGGATTGTATTATACAATGTTTAAATATATAATGTATATAATATATTGAGAAAATGTACTTTATCAAATATAGTGATATAAACATTAACAATTCCTTTATTGCACAAATCATGTAAATTATCGAATCCATATTTTTTATACCTTTGTAAACGTCGGTAATGTAATATGTTGAACAAAATTTCGGTAAATGATGCAGAAATCTGTAATACGTTTAATTTTAAATATTACACAGTTGATGGATTTACGATGCATAGTAATTGTCTGTTTCATGTCCACGCATGATATCACGCTTGCCTTGGTTATATTTAGAACAGTCCAGTGCGACAAGATGCACTGCCTGTGGAGATCCGCGATTACTCGTGCATTTCAAATGTCATAATTTTTCGGCAAAATCATTCGCGGTTGCTCTCTAAATTCCTCGTCCATTCTTGTCAAAGTTCCGATTTTAATTATCTCTGTTAATTTCTATTATTCTGTGAGTATATATCGAAATTATATATGTGTACTCTCTTTCTCTCTCTGACATATACGTTCTTCGATATTTTTCTTCTCGATATGAATCATTTATCAGATTTTTAAAGATATATATTGACTTTATAAAATGTTATCACAATTAATTGTCGTTTAACGTCATATATTGCTTATAATATAATTTAAGTATGACAAAATGTATTATTAAATTATAAATTTCAAATTATATTTTATATAAGCATATTTTATTTTGCGTGCGCAATTGTCTATATATCTTAAGTCCACTTTTGCAATGTGATACATTATAAAAGTAAAACTAATTTGTTTGTATATTTAATTTCCGACATTAAAATGTTTTACATTTATAGGTTATAATTATGAAAGATATACATATGCATTGAAACAATAAAAAAATTTAAGACACATGCTCTTTAATATGTGATATACTTTACTAAAATTGTGCTTTAATAGAAGTGTTTAACATGGAAGACTTTGCTTCGATAAAAGGACAAATTATTAATTCACATAAGAGGAGGCCAGACGTAATACTGCATACCAGAAATGTAATGATTCCCATTGTAAAACCTGTGCCTTTTAAGCAGAGCTGCGACATGTCCTTTTTAGAAAGCAGGTGTCAGATTCTGAGAGCAAAACACTACAGTAACAATACTGCATTGCTGTTTTCAGAGAAACCCTTGCATACATTATATGATCCCTTGGAAAACTCGCTCGAGGTCAATCCAAATCTGTATATTCTAGAAGATATTTCTCTTTTTCTTTGTCTTATTACATACTTTTGAATGCAATCTTGAAAAATACTAAAAATTTTGTTTAATACATTAGTATATATTTATTTGTATCTGAAACTTGAAACTGTAGGTACGAAGAATTGGTCACTGGAAACCCAAGAATCAAAGTACAAAATATATTATTTTTGGAAAGACTGATTCTCCAATTATTAAAAAAACTAGTACTTCGCAAAACTCATATCCATCTAAGAGATTCTCTCGCAAGAAAAAGTATAATGCATTACAGTTTCCCAATGCAGTGCTTGTGCAACCTGAATCATTGACAAACAAAGATTTACACAAGGCAAGTTCAAGATCTATAAAATTATCAAGGAAGTGTGATCTATCGCAGATAGAGGAAAGGCAGATAAAACACGAAGCCATGTTTACACTTTTGCCAAAAATAGAAACACCAATTAATAATGTTATGGGCAAAGCAGTTGTATCATCACCAAGTCAATCATTCTATGATACCATAGATACTACCTCCACGGTGTCGACACAGTCAGTGTCAAGCTTAAAGATCAGAAATAAAAAAACGTTTCCAAACATTATGAATAAAGAAAAGTCAATACCTAGTTTAGCATCGAATCATTTGCATCCTAGTACCAGCGAATATGAAATAAATGTTTTACATTATGAGAATGATATTCTGTCAGGAAATAACTTCCCACAGTTTGCACAATCTCATTTGAAATCCACTAACACAAATTGCAGTTTAGTTAAAATTCAGAATGGCAATACTGCTAATGAGAGAAATGCAATAAAAAGTAATAAAGGGGACGAAGATAAGATTATTAGTGACATAAAATATTCATGGGAAATGAAGGATTGGATGTCACCGTCTCAAAGAAAAAAATATGACAACGCACGTGAAACAAAAATTACTGGGTTGAATGGCAAAAGCCCTTATGACTGTAAGATAAAATATTCTTGGCAAATTATTGGAACAAGCACACAGACATCATATACCTTATTGCAAGATTTATTAAATAATACCATTATGGAAGATAATAAGTCTTCGTATAAAAGGTGCAGCATTAAATATTCCTGGCAAATTATAGGGATTAGTACGCAAGCGTCTTTGCAAGATTGTAACGACTCAGATTATTGGAGCGGAATATTGCTGACACCGAGTAAGAATTATAATGAGAACAAAGCTGAAATTGATAATAATGAAATAGATCATGCTGAACAAGATTATGTGAGATATTCCAAAGGAAAATTGAAGAAATACTTGATATTGAACAATCAGCAAACCCAAACTTTCGCTGAGAAAGAAATTCAAGTTGATTGCAATGCAAAATATTCTTGGCATAAGATGATTAAACAATATCTGTAATTAATAAAAAATGCAATTTGCGAAATAATATTTATATGTATTTAAATATTATCGATAATTGTTTATATTATTAGGTGTTAAACTTAATTCCTGCCGTTTTTCGTCTCCAAAATTGATTTGTTTCGAAGGGAAATACCTTAATCAAAGTATTATTAATAAAG